GTGACCTATATTTGTTAACAGTCTAATCATTTGGTCTCTGGTGGATAGTTGCATCTTTTGCAATCATACCTCATATCCTTATTTTTAAATTACATAGTTACATGTATCATGGTTATTGCATATCCTGAACTATAATAAATTATTATCACGTCAGTGACATTTTATACTAGGAGATTTTGCTTAATAAATTGAATCTCAAAAGGAAACCTTTACACAAAAGCATGTTATTGAAAAACTAATCACCTGAATGCTGCTTTGGGAAAATAAATTATTCTGACTTGTCAAATGATGTTCAACTAAAACGTTAGTTCAAAATATGCCACAATGATTTTATATGGAACGACACTAAAGGAAATCACTTAAGAGCTCTCCAAGTATTGAATCAGATTAACAAATTCTATTTCATCCGCTGTCTTTAGAAAATTTAAACAACTTTTTACAGCATAAAATCAGTTTTGTTTTCGTCATTCAATTTATCAGAAATGCACGAATCTTTAAATGATTTTTGTTTCTCTTCAAATTTTTCCAAAACATGAACCAATGGCAAAAAATTGCTTTCACAACAGGCATGGCAAAACAAATAAAACAAAATAAATTAGGTTTGAATAAAAGAAGAATGTGTCCGAGGACACAAATGCCCCCACTCAAGCTTTGCAATTTCCCAAGTTAAAAAAGGGCATAACTCTAGAACCGTAAATGACTCACTGCCCTAATTCGTAACAAAAATAGGACGGATGGATGGATGAAAAGACATCAGATACTATGATAGTCAAGGGTAGTTCTTATAAAAATTTGTTTTCCAATTCTCCTTCTGTTATTTAGCTTGGATCTAATGGTGAAATTACAATGTTTATATTTTGAAATGCTATTATATATCTTAAAGGTTAACATCTGAATAGAAATGTGTTAAAAATGGTATTTAAATTCCATATATATATGCATGTACATTTAAACTGAACACTAGCTTAGCGAAGGACCTTTAAGCACAGACAATGACTGAAGATTCCGATGTTTGCTTTAAATTCAAATCAATTTCTATAGAAATGAATATAATGCTTATTAATGCTTATTTTTAAATCCTAACCAAATGAATTCCATCAAAGTATTTTGATTTATAATTTATGGCTAATGCCGATGGCAATTGTTTTTATCAGTCATAAATGAAATACATTATAACGTCAAAGAAGCTTAATATATTTACAAATATCACAATAAGATTGAACCATAGCTTGATAGGTCCCTCTGGACTACCAATACCACAAAACACGTGAGATCTAAATAAGCACTATTCCAGTGTATCAAAGGTTGTTATACAGCTAAATAGCAGTGAAACTGTGATGCGTCTTTAGCTAACAATTTTCATCTGTTAGCAGGTAACAAAAATTCAATACTAATTATTCCAGCATTGTTAATTTCCTGTTATTTTTGTAAACAGGAAGAAAAGACAACACTAGTTGAACTTGAGGCTCCTAGAAGCCTGAATCTATCACCCCCTCCCCCCCCAAAAAAAAATTCTTAGAAACCAGAAATTTTGAACCAATATTTTTTTTGACAATCATGCCGTCTTTCGACTACTATCTTAATAGACTAAGAATTCCAGTTTTCCTGCTTAAGGCCCTTGTTCTATCCAGATACTCTGGCTTCCTCAACCAATAAAAGTTGGCCGCTGTTATATATATAGCAAAGTGTGCTGAAAGTGGAGTTAGACAACAACTATTAGTTGCCACTGTTATATAGCAAAGTGTGCTGAAAGTGGAGTTAGATACCAACTATTAATCAATCAGTCTATTGTGAACCCAAAAACAGAGCACCTGAGATCACCCCCAGTTTTTGGTGGGGTTTGTGTTGCTCAGTATTTAGTTTTCTATGTTGTTCGTCTTTTGGTCATTTATTTTTTTTGCCACAGCGTTATCAGTTTATTTTTGACTTGAGTTTTGAATGTCCCTTTGGTATCTTTCACCTCTTTGATCAGATCTTTAAATAATTTCTGATCTTTCAAGTGATAAAAAGTTCAGGGCCATATACTTAAATGGAACCTTAGAACATTAAATTGAGAAATGGTGGTACAGGTTACAAATGGCTTAACTGCAATCCCCCATTAATAAAAATTATTCCATTTACTTTTTGTAACAGAAAAGTTTAGGACAGGCAGATAAACATGCAGTCAGGTTAAGGATGTATTCTTCTGATGTGTCAGTCTCGTTGAAATCTCGTTCAGGAATTATTTCCAAAGCGTGTGATACAAGTGGATAATATCAATGAATTAAAAAAAAATATAATCAAACTAAAAGCTGTGAAAAAATTGTGTACTTACAATAAGTAGATTTTGAGTAATAAAATTTTCAAATTTTATAACCAATCCGGTCAGTGTCATCAGCCAAAATGTTGAATAATGGGTGAGGGGTACAAAGAAATGATTTTACCAAAAATATGTACATCCCATATCAGTTTTTTCTTTTCAAAAAAATAGAGAGAAAAATCCCAAATTTACAAAATCAATTTGACACAAATAAGCAACAAAATTTTATGAAACTTTCTAATATCAACACCAAACTATATTTTTTTAAGTTAAATTTATTCAGATTGGTCCACTTCATCTTAAGTGAAAGTATGAAAAAAAGTTTAATTGTGAAACTGTGATTTTTTTTTCATGATAATAGCCCAAAAATGGGTAAAAATTGATGAAAAATGGGAAAATCATCAAAAATAGGGTATTTTCAAATGGCTGTAGCAAAAAAAGAAGTGCACCACCATATGATTTTTTCTTCATCAATTACTTTCTTACAGCATGTACAACCATATAAACCCAAAAATCAGGTTAAAAAAAAAAGTTTAATTCTAGAAATTTTTGGCTCCTCAGAGGTGTGTACATGTACATCCTTAAAGAACTGCTTAAAAAACTTTGAAGACTGTCTAACCTTCTCTCCTCCCTTCCATTTTATGTACACAGCAGACCTGACACTGGTCCAGTCCATGGAATCAACAAAATCTACTTTGTGTATAATCATGATAGTATTATCTCTCTGCTAAAACCAATTAAATATTTGATACAAGTCTATTTTACTGCCTGGTATTGATTATGCAGAAATTATTTTCTGAGTATAAAATTGATTTTTGTTTATTCTTCTGATCTGTCAAAAATCAATCTTGTATGTTGAGTTATTAACTTAATCTTTTACTTTCTTCAAAGAACACACTGCACATGCCGGTTTAGGGGGTATGTCAATGCAAGATCCTAGAAATTAAGAGCAAACATTTTCTGTTGATTTTTTTCTTACTACAATTACAAACTGACCACTTGATGTACTTTGGTTCATGGTTTGCAGGGAAAAAAGTTACTGGTTCATGCATGTAGGATTTAGAATTTACATGCATTTATTGAACAACGGCTGCAGAATTTAATTTTCTTACATGTCTATATACAAAATATGGTTTTAGAGTACCTAAGTTATACCATATTCGTAATTAGATTACAATGTTTAATGACTTTAAGGACATAAAATGCACTTAAATTTGAAAACACCAAAATATACTTGAATTGTTTGTATATATCCATTTACATGTAAATGAGTATAAATATTGCATATTTGTTTCTTCATTAAAATCCAGACACAGGATTGTTTTGAATAAATTGAAAGTAAAAATTTGTTTAACCCTGCATCATTGCTTGTGTTTCTGCCCCAAACAAGGAGAGCAGTTCAGTGATTTTCATTGGTTGCTGTCTAAGTGTCTGATCACAATTGTTTTACCTTTTAATTTTATTAGCTTAAATGAGGCTGTTAGTTTTCTCTCATATTTTCTCATTTCAGATTTTTTGTTGTTAGGGGGTTTTACTGTTTACTATATGGTTTTGCTCATTGTTGATGAGCTGTATATCCTTTTCCTTTGGTCTTAGGTGGATAGTTGTTTTGTTGGTAATTAATCATACCACATTCTCCTTATTTATCCTCATATTTTGATCTTCAGTTCCACTGTGTTATTACAATGGATTTGGTTCAATAAGGAATATCACATAAAAATAAAATTTAGCATACCGGTTAAGTACAGTCTCTAAATTATTGCTTTGCTGATGTAATCTGAATATAATTTGTTGACATGCACATATTTACACAATGTAAATAAGGTGGAAAGCATGTAATAAAGAAATAATCTGCATCAAAACCGAGTCAATTTCATTAAAACTAGTCAATATTTCATAATCACTATCCTAAATGAAAAATAAGTTTATTTTGTCATCAAAACAAACATTTTGTACTTTAGATCTGTTCTGAGAAATGGATGAAACCAGAACTCAAATCTATTCTTTATACTATCATTAATTTCATAAACGTAAAATTGTTCAACTACTACCAGTACACAAAAGTCCATAGCACATTATTATAACATTACAAAGGGATGATCTTCTCAGTAAAATCTTAAATTATATGTACAAAGACCAGTGGTTTATGTTGTATATTTGTTCACTATGCAGGGGTATCCACAAAACAACAACTCAGTCATTTACTAAACAGTCCCATTATCTTTATCCACTTCCCTTCATGTCCATTGCATTTCTGTCTTTCAATTGCTGATGTCACCTGGGCCTTTGATCTAGTGACCTCAATATTATCATTTCAAGTTTGGTATTAATTGGCCATTCATATACATTGTACATGTATGGTTCAAACATACATAACATTTAAAACCAGAATTTTGCCCAAATTTCAGTCTATCAAAAGCGGATGACCGTAACCTTTGACCCTAAAAACCAATAAGATGTGTGTCCATCCTGTAGGCCATTAACAAACAGTTTGGTAAAAGTTGAACATATATGGTTCAAAAGATAACAAACAAACATTTTGCCACATTGTTACTCCCCCTTACTCCCCGACAGTCAACCGGATACATTGTATTATACATGTAAGCCAAGTTCAACTTGATCTCAACATAGATCATCCTATCGTACAGTGATTTATCCAACATTAACTGATGTTACAAATGAATAACTGTAGGTGTCTTACCTGATGGTCCTATCAGTCTGGCCTTTTTCACTGAAAAATACAAAAAAAGGTTAAGCAATACTCCAAATTTTATTAAACTTGTACATTTACAAAAAAATGTATAAACAAAAGTAATTAATCCAGTTTAGATATTCTTAACACATTTCTTGGATGAATACACTTGTAATCCATGGCCAGTTGAGATGTTCTAAACACATTTTCCTGTTATTTTGTCAGGTTAACATGGTTAAGATGTTCTAAACATATTTTGCTGTTGTTTTGTTATGTTAGGATGTTCTAAACACATTTTCCTGTTATTATGTCCTGCTTAGATGTTCTAAACACATTTTTCTGATGCACTATATATATACACTTTGAATCCAGTTTAGATGTTCTACCCAAATTTTCCAGTTTTTTTGACCGGTTTAGATGTTCTAGATACATTTTCCTGTTATATTGACCAGTTTAGATGTTCTAGATACATTTTCCTGTTATTTTGACCAGTTTAGATGTTCTAGATACATTTTCCTGTTATTTTGACCAGTTTAGATGTTCTAGATACATTTTCCTGTTATATTGACCAGTTTAGATGTTCTAGATACATTTTCCTGTTATATTGACCAGTTTAGATGTTCTACATACATTTTCCTGTCATTTTGACCAGTTTAGATGTTCTACATACATTTTCCTGTTATATTGACCAGTTTAGATGTTCTAGATACATTTTCCTGTCATTTTGACCAGTTTAGATGTTCTAGATACATTTTCCTGTCATTTTGACCAGTTTAGATGTTCTAGATACATTTTCCTGTTATATTGACCAGTTTAGATGTTCTAGATACATTTTCCTGTTATATTGACCAGTTTAGATGTTCTAGATACATTTTCCTGTTATTTTGACCAGTTTAGATGTTCTATACACATTTTTCTGTTATTTTAGCATGTTAAGTGTACAAAACAATGCATGATTTTACTGGTAGCACAGAAAGAACGGTAGATGTTCTTAATATATTGTTTACATTTCATGTTACAGCCCATTCCATTTTGTCCTGTTTGATATTCTTATACATTTTCCTATTATATTTTCAAAATACATCATATATACATGTATGTATGCTTCTATATGACTATATCTTATAAGTACCATTTATACAGGTCTATGTACATTTTTTTTACATGTTTATCAATGCGTTATATACATTGTCCATCTAGATATAATAAATAAACTGTTGGATCTATTAGATGATACACATCATAATTACCATAGATGTTCAAAGTAAATATAAAATCAGTAGTTATGAGAGTATGAATATTGAATAACATTAACAAATGTAGCAAATAATTCAGACTTAAGGGTAAAATTGTATATAGGAACACAAGCTTACTTTAGCCAAGTTAAGGTACAGGTTACTGGTAATATATACATTCAGACAGCACATTAATGAATGCATGCTTGTTATGCTTGTACACACGGTCCATTTCTTGTTCAATCACTCTTGAGTCTTTAAATATTTTTTGACATTCAAACTCTTGGAGTACATGTATTTATTGTATGACTTATTATTTTATTTTTTTTCAAATGCTTTTCAATTTAGATGAACATATATATTCTATTAACTTTACATGTACATGTATGAATACATTTCACATATATATACATGTAGAAATAATCAAGACAATTTACATATATACATTCCATTAAAGTAGATAAAAATGATGTTGATATTGTTTGTTTTCATTTTGTTATGCTGTCACATGCTATGAAATGAAAAAGATTTGAATATTAGAGTAAATACAATGTATAATGTACATTGTACACATGTCTAGGTATAATTAAAAATGTATAGAAAGTACATGTATACATGTACATTGTTGATAAAATGTAAACATTCACTATATGTAGGCTAGCTAATTTGTACTTTTCAAAATAACTTTTGTCACAGGTGTAAGGGCCATTTCAAAGAATTTGACTTCAAAGGACTTTACTTACTGACTAATGGTATTAAATTGCAAAATTCAACCATAGATAGATCGTATTTATAGAAAATTTTGTTTGTTAAAAGAAATAGATAGCTGCACGCAAGTTTACAATTAATAGTTAAAACGACAGAAAGTTTTAATGACAGAGATGCCCATGTTATTTCAATTCAAGTGTAGACCTCTGTGTAAGCTCCATTGTGGAAATGAATAAAACTTCGTAAAATTACGATTCTAAAATTAATTAGATATAGGATGTCACATACACTAGCTGCTGGTCTCTCAATGATAAACATCGTCATATAGAAATTAGTAGTTTGTGCCAAGAAAACAAAGCCTTTGGGAACATAAATAATTGATCATTTTATGAAATATTGTAATGGTCAGCTGTTTGGGACATAGAACTGTTATTGATTGTCCTTGAAAACAAAGTTCTATTAACTCATATGGACAATCGTGACAATATTATTAAAATACCAGGGTACTTTTTCTTTTAACTTTACGTCATTATAAATGTAAATGTACAATGTATCTGGTCAAGAAACTTTCACACTAATTACTGCTGCATGTTTAATGTACATGTACATTTACTGTTTAACAAGTAAAAAATTATTTTGTTTCTTAGCTTACAAAAATAAAGATATTGTACAAGGTACAAGGTATTATAACCAAAGTATACAGCTGTATACATGGTTTATGAAATGCAAATGTAAAATACAAATTCATAAAACATTAAAAGCTAAAATAAAGCCTCAGAAATTGAACAGAAATTGTTATCTTAAACATGGTGTTAAACGTTTGAAAAATAAATGAATGATAAATAGCCCTTTAAGTGATACATTGTAGTTCAGGTTAGTAATAATCAAGGTTTTTCTCATACACACAGTACTTCTGAGGCGTCTAAAATTTGAGGACCCAAAGCTTTTCCACTTGTCTCTCATATTATACATCTCATGATGTAAGAGCAACCCAGTGGAGATGTGTTATGAATAAAAAAATGTGTAACTGCTGTTCACTAATTAAATGCTGGTGAAATATTAACCAATGGCTAACAAAGCATGACAGGCCAGACTTCTGTGATGTAATTGACTTGGAAATGTATATTTAAATGTACAAAGAAATGTATATGAAGGTCATAATTTTTGTGAACAGGCCATCCTTTTGAGATCTACAAAGCTATATATAGTTTATAAGAAATGGTGCTTACATGTAATTTTGTGTTTTGTGATATTCCTTACAGATATTGAACTAAGTACTAAAATGTTTATGTGCATGTATGTGATGATGCAGTAATTAAATTGAGTGTTTGTTGTTGGTTGCTGTCTGTCATATATATTTTTAGTTTTTGTACATTAATTATAATCAGGCCTTTGGTTTTTCTAATTCAAACTGTTTTACATTTTGTCACATGTATTTTCTAGTTTAATATACAGTATGAGTTTAGCTCATTGCTGAAGGCTGTATGGTGACATAAAGTTGCTCTCATCTACTTTATCTGGTCTCTGGTAGATAGTTGTCTCATTGCCATTTGTAATCATACCACATCTTATTCTAATATTAATTATTACAGGTTGTGTTAATTTTCATATCATAAGTTGTGACTATTACAGACAACTACGTATATTAACATGTATCAGAGCTCCAGATAAGAATTCACAAATTGGGGTTTTTACCCATCATTTTTTTATGTAATTGGGTGATAGAGTTTTTTAATTGCATTATCAATTCCGATTCACCCCTCAAGCAAATATCAAATTGGGTTTTTCACCACCAAGCTCCTTAATGTATTGGGTTTTTTCATCAACACAATATTGAATATTTAGGCATGTTATAATCACATTATATCAACCCAAGATGTTTTTCCATCTTTAATATGTTTCTTTCTTTGTATATGTGCTAGCTGTTTTGTTTGGTTTATTCACTGACGAGCAATTGTACGTTTGATTTGTGTCCCGTTTTAAACGTTCTGCCAGTTTTGTATTTTCTCGCAACTTATATAAACTGCAGCTGGTATCAATAGTTGGACAGTAACTAATTACCTTTCTAGATCCCATATGATATCCTACAGTTTATTTGGGGTAGGTGTGGCTTAGTGTTAAGATTTTTATGTAATTTATGTGAAATTCAGGTGCTGTAAGAAAGTTTTGCCAGTCCTTTCACCTATTTGCCAGATCTACTTTTTAATAAAAATAATAAGTAGTTCCCAGATTTAAGATATACCCCAAAACCTTGACCAGGTTTAAAGGATGGCTTAATTACGGACACCACATTCAACTTCAATTTACAAATAATTCTGCAACATTAAATAAATAAATAACACTTGCCAATAAGACAGCTACCTTAAGCATACAGAACAATTATACCAAAATAAAGAAAGTGTCAAGCTGCATTGACGTAAAAAAACGGATATGTGTATTCATTCATCAACTAAAAATGAAAAAATAATATATAAACTAAAACTATACCTGAATGTTTTTGTTTAATTTAATTAACATAAATCTGGGTTAAGTTGTCCCTTATTAGAACTTTTGGTTTCCGATGCTTTCCAACTACATATCATGTCATAATTAATTTGGCCTTTCACTTTTTCCTAATGATTTCGTTCTTGAAGAAACCCCGTGTTTATCGTTCTTGCAATGTTCTCGTTAAGGTACGCAAACACGCCCGTGCGTTCGACGGACGCTTCATAAAACACTAGATGAGTCTTGTTATCATCATAACTTGTCCTCAGCTATCAAAAAGAAGCTGAAAACATGCTTCTATTCAATATTTTTACCGGACATTTACTTTCGTTTTAATTCATTGTATGTTACGATAAGTCCCGAGCAATTCGAAAAAAATATGAAAACATGACAAACGCTAATTGGATAAACGCCGAGAAGATCGAAATGTTTTCATAAACACGTGTACCTTTTGAGCAACGGAAAATTCCAACAGGGACCCATTTCAGCTACTTGATGCAGGGCTCTATTTTTAGAACGAAAGGAAATTTCCAATTATAAATATTATAAAAATAGATTTACGCGACGATTGTAATTAGATAAGGGTAAATAACACAAACGATAGCGAATAAA